CTAATAAACAGTAACCATATGAGTGACGTCACACGAAACTCCTCCACGGGCCCTTCGGATTCGCATCCCGATATACTGCGATCGGTCCAATTATAACTAACTACTAGCAGAACCCATAAACTAATGCCATTTCCTCTCTTTATATTTTTTAGGAGACTTTTGCATTGTTCTTCTTATATTTCATTTGAGTATCAACTCTATAAAAATAAGCTTCATTCATATCAGATCTTTTTTTTATATATATAAAATTCTGGATATGGTAAAACATATATCGTATAAATTATCATTTTTATTAATTACAGTTGCTGTTTTTTTTTTTATTTCTACAGGTCGGTTCACATTTTATATGGCGTTAATTCAGCAGATGATCTTAATACTTAACGTAAATACGCGTTTATAAGCGTTGCAGTAGGATGCAGAATATATTTAATTATCTGTATTGGACATAAGCAAACACGCCAGCCTTTTGTCGTACATTAAAAATGTTGAAATTACATGGAAACCAAAAGCGTTATATTACATAAAACAACCTATTGTGAATGTGAAAACAAATGGCATATCTCGGAGCAAATTTTGTGTGTCATAGTCACCTAGTAACAATAAAAACAAAACACGAGTTAAGTAGCTTAAAATGAATAAATAACATCTACAATAATATAGAAGCTGAATACGTTATATTCGAAATGGTTTTGGAGCCTCACAGCGTCATTACAGTCTAAGACAACACATGTGCTCATGCTCTATCTGTTGACCGTGCATCTTGACAATAGCACCTGCAGGATACTTTCCATTGTAAAAGGTTCTATGCAATGCTACCATGTCCAAAACTCACCACACCCACATGAATGCTTTCTATATTCGACCTAGAGTAGTTTCGCAGTGCCCATTTCAATAGTTTGACAGCAAAGAAATTCCTGGGTGACTTAAATGGTACGTCTTTAAATGATATAGCAAGAATATCCATTTCATCCTCCAGCTGCCTGAGGTATGCGACAATTGAACAGGAATGTCGTAGAAGCAGGTTGTGTAACTTTTCCAGGCAGAAATCCTTTTTGTCTGGAACAAGACGACGGTATTTTGCCAATAACTTTCGTGATAATTGATTCTCACCCGTTACAAAATACCACACTCTGCTCACCACGGCTGTAGTATGACTTGTTTCATGAATATTTTGGTGTCAGAAACAGATGTTACAAATCCTTCCCAAGATTGATAAATATTCAATGGCCATTACACTACCAACGTAACGAGAAACAATTTCAAAATCTAGTTTTGATACATGCCATCCCAGCCACTTTATATAGGCTGTGGTTCTCATGTGACTTGATGATTTGCACATTCAAAATCGTTTTAATAAAATGTACTCAACCCCTTGTACACTGTATTACTCCAATCAGTTTTTGAAAATAAATTATTCGCTTAAATACTGTTTACAGTTAATATTTCATCATACAGTTTTTACGCGAAACAAAATAGTTGTACTCTAGACCATACTATGTAGTTGCATAGAAAAATATTGTAATCCTAATCAGAAAAAAGTTAAAAGTAAAAAACAAACAAGATCACAGTCATACAAACTTTCTCTGATTTAATGCCACGTCCAAACACGTACATATATAACAAAAACAAGCTCATCATGAATCTCAAGGGTTGAGGAAATTCTCTCTCATTCTCAGCTACATTGAATCATCATTGAAGATCTATTTTACATGTATACCACCAAGCTTTTTCTTTTACTATTCTGTAAATTGGTTTTAAGAAATTTTGTATATTAATCTCTATATACGTTTTTTTTTAAATTTTAAAACAGTTACCAAATAGGCAACCATACTCATGTCATCTCTGTAACGACAAGTATACCAACTCCTTCACCAGGTATTTTTCATGTAGTATGCTAAAATCATTCAGAGACAGCTAATACTGTAACAAAGTTGTTTGATAATGACACTGGCTGAGCAAGTGATGAGCAAAATAACCACTTAATCTTCTTAAGTTGCATCTCAACATAAATGATGGCATTAATTATTGTTAGTGTGACTAACGGGTGAATTAATATTTATGAAAAAGAAAATAACTATTCCAAATTGCTAAGCTGCAATACATCTTATTACATACTTAAGTGAGCTTTTGTAAACAATTTTTATTCCTTAAGGTAATTCTCACAGTTGGAGCTACTCATTCACTTTCAATAAGTTCCACATCTATATTATTGCAACTAATAATGTGAAAGAGGAAGCATGATGCTAACAGTATTGTTATATATTTCAAGTGCCAGTTCTAATTAATATGTACACAATATATATTAATTTACTTAATTTATATACTTCTATAGATATATGGTACTTCAAACATTTCCAGTGCACCCTCAATTGAAAATTTATGTTTTAATAAAGCTCTATAGCACACCACATTCAATTACCCTTTTCAATGTGGACTTTTATAAAACTTTGCTCAAAGTTTATAAAACTCTCACCAAGCGAGAGAAAAGTACTCAATTTTGCATTACAAAGTCTTGGTAATATAAACTAAATTTGAACAGTAATTTGTTTGTTTTGGAATTAAGCACAAAGCTACACAATGAGCTATCTCCGCTCTGCCCACCACGGGTATGAAACCCGGTTTTTAGCGTTGTAAGTCAGCAGACATACCGCTGTGCCACTGGGGGGCTTAAACAGTAGTATAACAATGGAAAGACATCAACAAAGACTTCCATTAATATGTTATCTCCTTAGGTAGTACATACATCTTTAATTATTTATGGGAAAAAAGTTGGAAGTGAGAATATTTTTGATACTTCTATTCGTTTTCTCACTTCCAATCAAAAAAATAAAAGTAGGGTATGAAATAAAATCTGGCATGTTAATTTTAATGAATGAGAAATGACATTAATGTGATTTTACATTAATTTATTTTAAAATATCATATCAACTTCAAAACAACAGACAGAAAAAGTAATTGAAATGGCACTTCAAATAAAAAAAAAAAATTGTCCAACCATAGCTCACAGTTATACGTTCAGTTGTGCTTGTGCGCCAAGCTCCTACACTTAAAATGACTACATTGTTCAATTAGAATGAGTTATTTTGATTTGTATCTCAGCAACCTTCTATGCTGAAATGTGTTTTGAAATAATACAAAGAAAGAGAAATTGTCAATTATCTTATATATTCAAATGAAAATTATACTTTATGTCAAGCTTAAGTTGTTTTCATTGTTTTAAAAATAATCCAAGAGCTTGTTTTGCTGAAAACCATACAGTTAAGGCTGGAAATTAAGTTGAGACTGATGTATAATAACTTTCTAGAATATCATCAAAATAATTATAATATTTATTTATCTAATATCTTTATCTAAGTATATGATGAATACATATAAAAGTAGTTTACTTTGACAAGATGGTATATTATGAACTTAGACTACTATTCGTCATATAATAACGAACAATATGTATATTTAATACAGAGCAAATAACAAAACAAAACAGATACAAATTGGAAATTGTGTTTATGTTTTTCGAACTGTATCCTGAATACAATTGATCTTCGTTACATAATTGGAAAACTCGTGACCTGTTGAGAAAAGAAATATGTTAAATAACAATTAAGTATTTTGAGCAGATACTTAAATTTGAGCAGGCTTTGAAAAATGTTATATGGAATCACATATTATTCTACTTATATGAGCACAAATGCATAATTAATAGTTTCATTTTGAGTTTACTTACTGATTATAAGCATTATTTTATTACAAGTTACAGTTTTTACAGTAAGGAAGAATATTTTTTAGAACAGGTATGGTGTTTCGATCACTGGTGCAATCATTCTCAAGTACATAAGTTTTATAGATAAAACTTGTATGGTGTGTCGATCACTGGTGCAATCATTCTCAAGTACATAAGTTTTAAAGATAAAACTTGTATGGTGTGTCGATCACTGGTGCAATCATTCTCAAGTACATAAGTTTTATAGATAAAACTTTTCTGCTTGAGAATGATTGCACTAGTGATCAAAATGTCGTACCTGTTCTAAAGAATATTCTTTCTTACTGTAAAGGCTGTAACGCGTGATAAAATAACACAAAAGTACAGTATTCCAGTAACACTTAGACCTACATGTATCACATAATCTTGCACACCATCAATAAAATAAACTCTTTTAGTTCATAATGAAGATATATTTGATCTACAAACAACTGACCTGTGGGTTTGTATGCCAAACAATGATCAAAAGGAGGTTTAGTTGCTATTTGGCAAATAGTTTGGACATGATAATGTTTATCTTGGCTTTTCAAAGAGACTCTCCATTCCAAGACTGGTAACCTTTAGTAAAATAGCATAAAAAAATTGTTAATCTGAGCTGTACCATTTATACAATGCCCTATGTAGATATGTGTGTGTGTGTGTGTGTGTCTATATATATATATATGTATATATACATATTTATAGAAAAATATTTAACTTACAAAAGATAACAGTTGTAGATATATAACAATATAACAAAAAAACTAATTTCTCCGTTTGCTTCATAAATGTTTAACAAATTTCAATAGAGATTGACTACATTGTATTAAAATTATTTTAGAACTTCCCCAGTTCATTACAGTCCACGATGCCATGACCTGGACAATGACTCAAAAGCATAGTTTCCGCCGATAGAAACTCCATTTTAAGTTTATGTCTAAATTTCACCACTCTTCCCTATTAGCTTTTCATAATCTATTTAGCATAGGAGGACAACAGTCTCCCAGGACCAGCTTCAATAGTTCAGTCACACAGAGTTTATGTGGCCAGTGATTTCACTGGTACGTCTTTGTTTAGAATAGCATGAATATCCATTTTATTCTCCAACTGCTTGAGATATGCAACAGTTGTAATTTATGAAAGCAATATTTTTACATGCGACTTATATCACTTTTACAGATAGAAATCTTTCTAGATTATGTTGTGTACTGTTGCCTAAAACATATGGACAGCTTTTCCCAATGGCCTTTATGTTCATGGATTCTGATCTGTTACATGGTGCTGCACTTTCCTTACCACTATTGGGGTATTATACATTGCAAATATCTTTCTAGATGGTCTTGGTATACCAAGTTGATCTTAAAAGTTCGAGTGTACGTATATTTTGTGTTAGAAAGGGCTGTTACGTACCTTTCCCAAAACCAATCAGTTTTGAATGGTATCACACTACGTATGAAATGTCAAACAATGTTAAAATGTAGTTCTTATAATTTTGTTCCACCAGGACTATATGTCAGCTGTGGTTGTCATGAGACTTGCCAATTTGCATATTTAAAATCATTTAAATGTAACATACTTAACCCTCTGTATACATCTCTTGCACACATCCCACATTTAAGAAAAAATACATAGTTTAACTTCTATACGTTTCTTAACATCGGAGGCGATGATGGTTTGATAATACATTCACAGGCACTACAACAAGTAACTTTTGAATGTAATATTACATTTATATGAATCATTAGGTTAAGGGTAGGCAGATTAGCCCCTTTCTGTCTTTGCAAAATGAAATCTTGACTAATTACAAACTGCAATTACAGTTTTCAGTTTCATATAAAATGTTAACATGCCTAAATTATGAAAAAAAATCTTGCAATAATTACTGGCAATCATATGGTGTCAGATACTGCATTCAATACAGTTAGATACTCCTAAATCTTGTATTAACAGTTTATATAGCCAGAAATAGTATCAAGTTACTTTTATCACAGGAAAACCAACTACAGTCACAGATAAGGTGGAGATAACGCATCAACATTAAACACAACTTGATAAATTGAATGAAGAATCAGTGATATTGTTGAGTATTCTATAAATATCCAAAACATATGTTCATCATACAGTGCTTAAGTAAACAAACATATATAGATTTAGATTTAATCTAAATACTAAAATTTAATATTAAAATGTTGCAAGAACAACAGTTACAGCTATTATTGAGGTGTAAAATAAACCATAAATTCTCCAAAAAACATTTCCTGGATAACAAAGTGATTAATGAGGTATTATATACTCTACAAAAGAGTTCTGTAGATCTCACACTAAGGGAAAGTAGATAAAACTACAATCTAAATTTCCAGGAAAAATTAATTCAAAGTACTCATTCTCATTTTTAAATTACTACGAACTTAATAGTGCTACAATGCATGCAGCAAATAATTGAAGAAATAATTAACATAGCAAAAAAAATAACATTATTGAAAAATAGACAAACATTTGAACAACAGGAAGTAAAAAAAAAAAGAAAAAGAAAGAGAGAGAGAGAGAAAATAGCGAGATAGACTGAGATATGATGTAGCAATATAGAGGTTAGCTCAGCAACTTGTACCTTTCTAGCAATTGATGAACACTGGAGATTTGAACTGGAAAGTGAAAAATATGGTTTGGGTCCACACTCGGAATTGTGGAATAAAATTTCAAGGCTTCTCTAGAAGTAAAAGTAAAAATAGAGTCCGTGAATATAGCTTAAACAAAAAACAAATATATCCCACATGTTACAGTGCCTGAACAAATACATCAGTAAAAAGTGTATTGGCCAAGAAACCTTATTTTTTCAACAGAATTTCTGTAAGAGATAGAATAATCCCTTTCTTTTATCATTTTATTAGCAGTTCAACACCATAGAAAGAAAGAGTAGGATAAGCCAAAAGTTTGTATGCCCTTTGAGTTAATGAAAACTTTGTGACTTTATTGACTGTGCATCATATGAACTATTAAAAAATTTATTTTATTTTACCACAAGATTAGTGTATGATAACTGATAAACTCTTGAGCCAAATTAATCTGAAATTATGACATCTCATTCATACTTACAAAGATAATTGTGTACATTAATGAATTGCAGTGATTCACACACAGTTGTTTCACTGAAGATAAGAATCTCAAATTAGTTCAATAAAAATTTCACAAATATTAAAACTTTTGTATTCTTTCATATATAACCAAAAGGTACAAAACTTATAATACAAAGGTTGAGTAGATTATATTAAAATGAATTTGGAGCCTCCCTACATCATTACAGCCCATGTTGTCACATCTGTTCATGCTCTATCTAATGCCCATGCATCTTGAAAATAGCCCTGCAACATAGGTTCTATTCATAAAGATGCACTTGATGTACACTTTTCAAAATGGAATAACTTTTTATCAAACTCCCAATATTTAAGCAATGATTTGTTGTGAAAATTCTGGGTACATTTGTTTTTACTATATTTGTCAAGAGAAGAATGTCAATACAGGGGATTCAAAAAGGGAAATTTTCATTAAAAATTATTAAATCGAGAAGGTCATTATGGCTTCTTTCTTAATTTAGTCTATCTTTAGGCTGTTCTGTCAGAACCATAACACTACTCCTCTCATGCCTTCCAGAAGTCACCTAGTAAACAAAGATGATAGTTTCCCAGTAGCTGCTTCAAAAATTTCAACTTACAGATATCTATACTTTACTGACATGCCTTTGTATGTAAGAACATGAATACCTATTTCATTCTCCACCTGCATGAGGTATGTGATGATTGAATGGATGTTTTATGGAAGCAACTCGTGTAAACATCACTTTTGTCATTTTTGCAGACAGATATCCTCTTGATTATGCTGCATATTGTTGCCTGATACACATGTATGTTTTTTTCCATGATCTTTATGTTTGTGGAGTCTCTCCTGTTACAAGACATCACACTTTTCATATTAAACCAGGGGTACAACTAATTGCAGGTCTTTTTTCTGGATGGTCTTGGTGCTCCAAGTTGATCCATATTCGTATATTTTCCAATGCCATCAAGAACAAGGGGTATATTTTTCTATACAATTCTAAATCCTTGATCTGAACACATACTTATGATCTTACTGTTGGCAACTTTGCAACAATGAGAACTGTAACATTCTCTTTCAAAAGCAATGAATATTTAGTGACATCACACTATCTACCAAATGCCAAACAATGTTCCATTGTGACTTTATATTGGTTGTTGATGTCCTGTGACTTGCATATTCAAAATCACTATAACATACTCAACCCTTTGTATAATTACACACATTTAACCCTATTAATTATGTCTTGCTTTGCTAGTATTGTGTTTCCTAAATGTAACCCATCTCATTATTTCTCCCTTGTGGTATATGTTGCTACCTTTAAACTTAAACACATCCAATATTACCATCAATCAACAATCCTAACAATTAGTCAAGTTAAAAACTGGCCACATTCACACAGTAGTTTTTAAGTTATGTAAATAACACAACCAATTAACAACATAATTAAACACAAGTTAAATTATGACATTCCTAAAAGTTCATTAGCTGAAATTAATGAATTTATTTAAATACATAGCATATTACTTCTTAGTAACAACTAATAATTGTAACTGTGAATATCATAGAGCTTCTGTTGATCTCTCAGTTACACTCCAATACAGTTTCAAGGTTACAATTTAGAACTCACTTGTATATTTCAAATGCAAAGAATTGAAAAAAGGTTAAATGAAGATAAACATAAATTAATAGTTTTATTCATTCTTGTGTTAGGGCTGTACAGGGAAGCTGGATCTAAAATTAAAGTTTTCAAACAAATTTCAAATGGACACATTAAACTTTTGCAAATGAAATACCTTCTTACAAATCAAAACTACCAAAAGTTAAATAATATGTTTCTTGGATTAACTAAATATGATTCATTAGAAGTTTTTGAAGAACATGTAAAACAAACTGTTGAAAAGCAAGAAAAAGGAAAACAGTGACTCAGAGTAATTTTCCCCAAATACATTCAATTATTAACAGTACAGTGTTTTGGAAAACCAAAACACTAAACAAGAATCACTCGTTACTTTTTGACATAGTTATATTAATAAAAGAAACATTATAAACCTAAATTCCAACTTTGAGCACATGGGCTAAAATATGGTAAAATTTGGATTCATGTAATCATTAAGGTGAAAGAAAACATTTTATAAAATACATAATAATATTTGTTATTCATAAACCTACACTTTTCAAGCAAACATTTTTACAAAAAGTTATTTCAACAATTACTTACCTTGTGTAAGAACTAAGCGTCTGTCTTGGAAGTTGGAGAAATGTTTTGCTAAGAACAATAACTTCTAAAACATTTTGAAGCTTCTGAAGTTCTGGTAATGCTAATACAATGTTTCCAGAAGATTGTAGAAATGGTTGTAGTTGTTCCTGAGTGGCAAGTTCTAAACCTGGAAAATAATATAGAAAAAAAAGTAAAAACAAATATCTTACCTGCCATTTTAATTATCATGTCTGGACAAATTTAACAATAAATTTAATGAAATGAGCATATCGTTTCATTAAAAAAATTAAAACATTGCTTAATAAGGTAATCAAATATCTGAAACCGTATGTCTACTGAAACTTCAGTTTATCATACAAGTGCTAATTTTTTCTTTATGCAAAAATGATTCCAGAAGAAATGTCAAAATAGCTTATCTTTTTACACAATTACCATGTAACTTACTACTAAAGGTTCATTGTACTTGGCAAGAATGATGTCCAATGTTCCTATACACAATCTGATGGCCAAGATTATTCATCATTCCTCAAATAACAATTTCTATTATAAAATTAATTTTCTACAAGGGATGGTGAGGTTAATCTTAGACCACACATCTTGATAAACTATCACATGGCCCTTTACTATGCAATAACACTGGCTTTTGAGACCACATTAAGGCAGGCCAAAGGCACAAAATCCTACAAATGCTGCACTACCAGATTTGGCAGATAAGCTGTCATTTCAATTTATTTGGCCATCTTTCTTATGGAAAAAGCCTTTGATTTTAAGATGTGACTGGAAGTTTGAGAGTCATCATCAATTTCAAATCCTTGTTTATTATGTTATGAAAAACATAAGAAAAGCTTCATTTGCATCGAGTCTTTGATAGAAGGATTTTATTTTGTAATATATAGCCTCCATTTTACAGATGATGATGTTACTCTTCATTGGCTTGGAGTGTTTTTTGAAGTCCATTGTTATCCTAAATATAATGCTTTGTGTGATTTTTTGGATTACATGGAGATTTTTGAGGGCTTCTTTTTTTAAAATGTTGTGTCCTTTGGCTCTACATCATTTCACAGACTCACTATACATATATCCTTGTCAGATTATATTTTCTACTTGTGTGAGAATGTTCAAGACAATGAAAAATAATCAATGTTGTAAGAAAAGTAATATTTTACACTGTATCCTAATATAGACCAAGTAAGTGTGAAGGTTCTTCTGTATATCAATATATTCTGCTAAAATATTTATAATACAAACTTGTAGATTTATGTAAGTATGTTTCTATTTTAATTATGAGGAGGAGCTTATTGACTATAAACAGAAAATGCCTATAACTTTTCATAGGAATATACTCAAACTTTTATCAGCATCCCTCTATATATATGTAAATACACGTTGCACAGAATTTTTTTGGTTGCTGTATCTATGAATAAAAATAAAGACAAGTTATTGGAAATACTCAGCTAACACAAAATTTCTATCAAATTAAGGTGAAAAAAAAGACAGTTTATAGTTAAAAAACATGTTTATTTACCAACAAAAATACTTGTGTAGTCCCTACGAAGTTTCTCTACTCCAATTTCCACCAGCATCTCTAGAGGTTTCATTCCTTCTAGTGATGGTGTTTCAAGGTCCTCGTGATGAAGTTGACGTATGAACTTCCCAAGAGTTGTTGAGTTTTTTCTAAATATCTATTTAAAAAAAACTGGTAATAAATTCTAAGTAACATGTACTTAAATATTCTCTTGAAATCATGCAAGAAATTGTTGCTTCTATATACTATTACAAAGATCTGCAGAATAGCTACGATCTCAGAATTTTCTGAGGTACATGAATTTTAAAAGCAATCATTCCTAGTTGCCTATGTAGTGGTCAAGGACTAGAAATCTTTTATATAAAAATACCACATACCAATGGTCTCATTTCTTTTGAATTCAATTGTTTGAAAATAAATGCCAGAGCCATCTTGAGTTCTTCGAAAGAAGAGCAGCCTAAAAAAGTAAGTCTTTTGATGAATCAACTGGTAAACATAAAAAATACAAAGATAATACACAAGAAAAACTTTCCTAAATTACAGTCTTATAATACCTTCTAAGGTAAAGCAACGAAATGTAATTTTTATGACTTCCCCAGTAGATTGCTACTTCCACACATGTACCTTATCAATATGTTTGTCAGTTTCTTTTTAATGATCAAGTTAACATGAAATGCTTAAATTTCATTTAGTAATAATCAATACTGTAGATCACAGTTATACACAGTGGCAAAATATGCGAGTTAGTGAACCACCAGTCAACATCGTCATTTACATATGTATTGTATTCTTTACCTGTGTGCATTATAGGTATAGCTTAACTGAATCTTTCAGCAACAGGACAGGAGTGTGGACTCATAAGATATCATTAACTTTATATTTTTCTATATAATTGCCTGTGAATGAAATAAATATTTTTGGAAATATTTTCACTTATCTATTAAAGTAAGAGTATATTCAATTATTACCAGACTGATAAAAATGAGTCAAACAACTCCAGACACTAAAGATGTCTTGGATTACAGCTGTTTCAGAAGAGATGGTCAAGGATATTTTACTATCTTATCTACAGTCTAAGTGTAAGCATGTAACATCAATGCTAGGTTATAGTTGCTGTTTACAGTAACCTTAGTCAATATCAAATTGAAATGTCAAGAATTGGATAAAAAGTAAAGCCATCTCTAAAACATTAATTATGAACATAGTCTTGATGAATAGTCATTTGCATGGTTATAATATTACAATTTCCAGTTGTGTGCAATGTGTTATCTGTAAGAAATACAGCATTTCAATGTAAAACCTGTTAATTATTAGTGTATGAAATAAATGCCTGTTGCACAGGGTTTAATAAAATATTTTTAATAGTGTGTTAGAAAAAAAAAGAAACCTCAGTTCAAATTTTCCTTACCTAAACAAGATTACAAAGGTATATGTGGACATAGGCAAATGTGTGTGTGCATGTACACGTGTATAATATACTGAATGTATGAACTTATTAAACCCATCAAACTGTGCAATACTAGTTAAAAGTCTAATCTGATACTTACAGTGCATTTCAGATACTTACACAAGTAGAGGTTATCTTTTCAACACTAAACATTATAAAAAGATTAGAAGATTTGTGTTAACTTTGTTCAGACATACACATTTTAATTAATCTAACTTAACTAACCTAAAGAAATCCCCATTTTTACATTTTAGTTACTTTTATAATAATATATAAAGAATAAACTTGAAAAACAAGAAATAAAGTACTTATCATAGTCTCCTTTTTTCTTGCTGTTGATTGCTCATGACACTTAATCCTACTTTTTTTATACTGATGATAGTAGTGCATTAAATAATTTTTATTAAATTATATAATGCACCAAAGAATATATAATAATAACATGCATGGCCAGGTGGTTTGGGAGCTTGACTTGCAATCTGCAGGTCACGGGGGTCAAATCCCCGCTCCACCAAAGATGCTCGGCCTTTCACCGTTATAATGTGATGGTCAATCCCACTATTCGTTGATAAAAGAGTAGGCCAAGAGTTGGTGGTGGGTGGTGATGACTATTTGCCTTCCCTCTAGTCTTGCACTGCTAAATTAGGGCTGGCTAATGCAGATAGCCCTCATGTAGCTTTGCATGAAATTCAAAACAAACCTCAAATGGAGGGAAAAAAAAAGAATTTTTCACTGATTGTGACAGCATTTTTGAACTTAGACACCTCAGTTTTTGGTGGTGTGTGTGTGTAATGTAAATAATATAATAAAAATGCTTCACAAGGCATGCATGCGAGCAGCTCAGGGGTAACGTAATTTGATAGCATACGCGAGATCCACATTTCCCAAGTGATTCACAACTTGTAATGGTGCAAATAGTAGTTAGACAGGATTTAAAGAGCAATAAAATAACAACATTTAATTATAAATACGAGTTTAAAGCTACTTAGGATAAACGAATGTAGTTTCATGTTACAATTTGAAGTCATTTTAGAGGTTACGAGTTCAGTCAGATTGACCAACCTTGTATAGAGTTAGGATAGAGAAAATATAAAGTTTTACTGAAAACAAACATTTGAATTGTGTCAAACTACTTTTTAGTAGTATACATATATATATATAGTAATGTAAACATATGGGTGTGATGGTCTAAGGATTCTTCTACAGTAGGTGTCTAACTTGTTGATGATAAATTTGACAATAAACGAACAGCACGCACTACACTTGTTTTTAAAATAATATATATATATATATATATATATTCGAAACAAGTTAAATGCACGTATAAAATTCTTTACACTATGGAGATCATAGTTGTATCTTAAACACTAAACAGTTCTCTTCTTCTTATCAAAAGTCCACTTAGGCCAATTCAATTGCTTTAGAACTATTTTTCTCTATTTTTATCACCATAGTATCTGTGTATAATTCACTTATGCTGTCGCTTGAGTTACCATAGTTGTATCCTGAACTTCGAATAATCATATGTTTTTCATACTTCCAATAATTGTTTGCCTGTTGTCAAAGTCCACACAGGCAGGTTCAATAATTTAGAACATCCTTTGACACGACAAATTATTCTCCTTATTTCTTTCAAACTGTTAATCTCACTCTAACATATCAACTGTTATGCCATTCACTCCCAGGATGGTTAAATTTACATTTTTTAACTTTTTTTTTCCAATGGAACTTCTCTTCATGTGACTTTACTTTTACTCTGTTTCCACTCATCTGGTCGCAGCTATGTCTATCACTTAGGCCTTCTAGAAATCTCCATAGCTTCAACATCAATGAATTACAAACACAAAATTAATTAATTAATAATACTACCTACACTAAACAGTCTTTTATATTAGACAAAATATATTTAGGAGGTTTTAGAGATTCCACCAATCACATCTGAGAATTTTAAGATGAAGGAAAGTATTTTTAATCTTAATATGAAAATCACTATGCATATGGACTAGTCAAAACAAATACTTGATATATTCATGGACAAATCTTTTTTAGTTTATTTAAAATAATTCACTAAAAATATGATTTTTTGTATGTGAAAGACTTTCAGTTTACTGAAAGGCTGCCAAATTTTGTGAAGATATAGATACGATATTAAGTTATTAGTATCAAATCCATAAAGACTTTATACAAGTACAAAGAGGTCACGTGGATGGTCAAATGGACCAAGCCCATGTTGAGAAAATTAAAGGAATTAAATCAAAATTGGTGGCCAAACTGGTAGCTACACTTATAGCATTGATAAGAAGTTTACAGCAAATATTTATTCATTAGTTAACTAGGCCATGTATTTAATTTTACCCACCATCATGCCCAAAGTTGAACAAAAATGTGGCATGGCTAACTAATGAATGAATATTTGCTGTAAAATTCTTATCAATGCTATAAGTATAGCTACCAGTTTGGCAGCCAATTTTTATTTCATTCCTTTAAGTCGCACGCTGAATCCTTTTTTTTTCACACTTAAGGTGTTTTTGATTAGATAAATAGTATCTGTAAGTCATTATGCTTGAAAAAATGTAGAAGTGGCAAAGTTTTGACCATAAAAATACTGTAATGTGATCTGTCTTGAATGACTATAAAACCAGTTTATATACATACATATATATATATATATATATATACTAAGACTTAAGCAGATAAGATATCAGCATTATCAACTTTCATTCTTGTAGATAAACATACATGCATATTTTAAAGTATATACATGTTTCTTAAAAAATAATTTGATGAGTATGTCAGAAAGTTGAAAGTAATAAATTATTACAAAAAAGAAGTTACATACATATAATTTACAAGTTAAATATGATAAATTTTTCTGACATGAAAAGCAAGTCCAGACACTAAGGATTATTTGGAAACCATACTTCCACAAGAAATGGATAAGGATACCTTAGGATCTTATCTACAATCTCAATTTACAATCAGAAGTCTAAAAGTTTGTTTTCTGTTCAATCACTAACATTTTTTCAATTCTATAAATATCCTTTTACATTTCATAATCAAAATTAAAATATTTGGTCTGTAAATAGTTTTTCTTTAATGAATTCCCTGCAAAGCAACAAGAGAGTTTTCTGTGCTAACTGTCCCTAAGATTCAAGTGATAGACTACAAGGAAGGCAGCTAGTCAATACCACCCACTGCCAACTGTTGAAATACTCTTTTACCAATGAATGGTGGGATTGAACATCACATTATAATGTTCCCACACTTGAAAATATGAGTATGTTCAGTGATGGGATTCAAACCTATGACCCAAAGATGGTGAGTCGAGTGCCCTAACCACCAGGCTGATGAGCAGTTGAAAAACATTCTATTCATCCATACTTTATCCTTTACGTTCATTGCTGTGTAGAATTTATAAAAGCTCATCCTTAGTAATTTGCATAACAATAACTAACCTGACAAGAGAGTCCAAAGATGGTCAGTAAAGTCCAAACTTTCTCGTTTACCCAACACAGCTGCTTCTAGACAACTATCAAAATCAGTAGAGTCTAAAGGTACCTGCTGATTCTCAGTCTTTTTTCGCAGTCCTCTTTCCTGTAGTCCTATATGTGCACAAAGATAATGAGAATATAATTTCGGATCCCCTGCTACATTCAAGACCACTAGATCCCTAATAAATAAATTTTCATTTCAAATAAATCATCATGAGTACAAAGAATGTTATTTAAAATTTTCACAAGTTTCCATACATAATCATACTATCACATAATTTGCTTTTGTTGTTTGAATTATTTCCTAATTTCTAAATTACATACAAAATTCTGATTTGTGATATTCACTGTTTTTGTGGTCTCATTTATACAATCAGATATTCAAAGAATTTATCCTTAGAGTGTTGTTTTGCTTGAAAAAGACAATCAAACAAATCTAACACATTATGACAGCTGATTGAAACTGTCATACATTTTCTTGCTTTATGGTCTTATAAAAATTGACTTAAGTACATGAATTCTGATGCATGAACTGAGGTACTTAAACAGATGACACAAATAAAAAATTTAAGTGTGTTCCTCCTGTCACTTAAAGAATTAATTTTAACAGCTTCAGGTCACATTACAGTGAACCAACCTTGTATCATTAATGTCAGTTGATCAGTCAGGGAATGGTCAGCTTCTTGGGGACTCCACACTATTTCCCCTGTCTGTAAGCCACATGTCAAGCCCTAAAGTCATAATATGTAAAAGAAATCACAGAATCATCATACAATCTTGAATGAAACCATGTACTAGAATAAACCTTTATTAAATAAACAACACAATGAACATTCTTCTTTTTTATATTTCACTAGTTTTTAGATTTTGACTCCAGCATCAGAGCCTATAATAATAATTTTCCTATTCAGTATACAAATCATTTAACAAAAGAAAAAACAACAACATACATATAGGTTGTTAATCAAAAAGAAAAATAATAACAAGTTGAAAACATTACTGAGTTGTTCATTTAATAACTTTTCTCATGTTATGAATCTGAAATATTATTAATACATTTTTGTTTAAACAATAAAACAGTTTAAAAATAACCCATGGAGTTCATGCCTTATTCTGAAACTAATTTGTTAAACCTTTTGTCAAATTAGTCTAACACACAGACAGCTTTGACTTATGTTTTTTAACTGACAAATTTGCATATTTTAAGCCTATGTATTAAATTCACCGCTTACTACCAAAACTAACTTTCAAATTGTCTTGAACAAAAATGTAAACAAACTATGCCTGGTAATCAATAGTTTCTGTGATGCTATTACATTCAGGATGGCTATATTTTTTCTAAATTTTTATTCATACTATACTGGAATATTTTCAGATTTTCCAGTTTGCACAAGTGCACATGCATCATATGCCAATATGTCAACTTTTCATCATAATGCAACCTAACTAACACAACTTTAATTTATAGTCTGGTTATAAAAGAAAATAAAGCTTTAAATATACTTGCCTCATGCTATGATACTACAATAAAGATCTTCAAACGCAAATATTGTAATACGAAATATTATTTTATAAAGACAAAATAAGAACATCAACAAGATAGAAAAGGAAACCAATGATAGAATAAAGAAGAAGAATTTAATGCACAGATTAAAGTAGCCACATTCTTTTCTGCATTGGCTCAATTGTTTCAACTGATAAAACAATCTAATACAAAATATGAATTGGAGAATTACTACTGTGCTATCTGGTATTGAAGGACCTTCCTGGTCTACCGCAGTAATGACAATACTGCATCCAGTTCAATAATTTAAATGACAAGTTCAACATCAGCCAGTAGAGAAACCAATGGATTATCAAGGGAAGGTACCGTGGGATATGTACCATGCACAGGTCATGATCACTTCCAGAGTGTACAGGTGGAATAGTGAAGAATCTATCTTTTTTTCTCAATTTAAAAAGACAAGCTTTAATTACATTAACTTTCCAGATGAAAGTCATAACTATTAAGCATGGTAGCTACCTTATCCAACAGGTTTGCAGTGCCACCAGAAATAAGTATTCAGAGCAAAGTTCTGGAACAGAGTGAGGAGGGGAAAAAAAAAAGACACCTTAGCCAAATGGGCAAAGAAATTTGGAAATACTTTCTCAATTTATTGCTTGGATGATCCTTATGAAATAATGGATTTGTTAGCACATGACTAACTTATAGATGCCATAAAAGACAAGGATATGAGAATTAGACTGAAGTAAAATAGTTGTACATCTTTGAAGGAAGCTCTGCAGTTGGAAATGGAACTAGATTCCATTTAGGTTGCAGATAAACAACTAAAGACACCATCTCAAAGTTAAAGGGCTATCAGACTGAGTAGTATCGAAACATTAATTCTCCCTATTAATAGTGTAGAAGAACAGAAAGTATTAGTTAGACAACTAGTTAAACACAACAGAAGAAATAAACCACAGGACAATAGATATTTTACGTGTAACTTGAAGGGACATATTGCCAGGAACTACAGGCAAAAACCTTTATGAAATAAAAGCTATTATAAAAGGACACCAGAAAGAGCCAACTATTATAGATGCGAGTAACCTGGCCATCACAGTTGAGACTGTATGAAATCAATAACTGTTATAGAGCCCAAACAGAAACTAAGAACTCTATGCTAACAAGACATCAAGAAAATAAGAACTATGTAGACTTATGAGACAAAATTGAGCTGAAAATATTCCATCTATCCCAAATGAGAGAAGAAGTTCATAATTTGAGGAAAATCATCCACGAGTCCATGGATTTATTGATGTAAAACCATGGGTTAGACTGATTGATACTGGTTTTACAGCTACAAAAATCATTCAACCCTAAGTATTAATGAAATATGGCAAATGAACTCCAAAAATGAAGAAAGAAAAGGGGCTGATGCAAACAACAGGCAGAAATAAAGTTCTAGCAAAAGGGAAGCTTCTCTGTGCCTCATGTTGTGGGAGTAAGTGACATCGAGGAGAAGTGAATATTGGGAATTGACTTCATGTGGAGATATATAAATATATTCAAATAGCTCTACAGTCTATGACCAGAAAATCCCCATGTTCTACATGGCAATTACTGCATCAGAGGATGAACTTTCTAGTGACAATGAACAACCAATAAGTGAAATATTTATACCAGGATTTATTAGCAATAATCCTTCATCTAGTGACTGGGGAATAATGAAATCAAATACTCAGACATGCCTCATGAATGTGAAGAATAAAGATGTTGTACATACCTTTACTTTGAAAAACTTAAATGTGCTTGTGATGAAATAAAAAGTAATTATGATGTTCATTCTGGTAAAATAGGATTCCATGGAGGCATAATAGAATGGCTGTATAGTCCTTGTTCCAAGAGAGGATAAACTTCAAAAATAAGTAAGTGTTTGGAAGATAGGCAATACAAGCCAAAGGTCATCTTTGTTAGTACATCAGAGACAGAATAGTGAAATGGGTAACTCCAGAAAAGAACTGGAATGGCTGTATAACTCCTGTTACAATAAAGGACAAACACCAAACTTAATTAGGTGTTCAGAGGATAGGCTATTCAAGCCAAAGATCATCTACTGTGAAGTACATTGGTAAGAGAATGTCAAACTGAGTATCTCCATAGAAGAACTAGTCAGTAGAATCTCAATCTGCAGAGAAGCCAATAATTCCTGGTGAGACTACTTCCAGAAGATTATCAAGGATTGAGCTTCCAGAGGATTCATTTCATCAAATACATAGGATGAACTACTTTTGTGAAAGGACAGCTAGAGATAATGAAGGACATATTGCCAACCCATCAATATACAATGGGTCTCAGAAAACCACCAAAGAGACTTGGTGAATTAACAATTTAGTGTAGTGTTTTATTTTTGCCTTAGGAGTATTCAAGAGACTTCTCAATCCAGGAAGAGGTCAGTGTTATAAACTATATCTTTAATGTTATAATTTGTCAGCTGTAATGATGATGATGTTGAAATTAGATAGGACTAGAACATCTGGAAAAGTTTTTTAATACATTCAAGGGTAGATATAAATATGGAGTCAGTAACGCACCAAGAAAATATTTAAGAAGATTGTCTTCTAGCCAGTATAGTAAATGAAGCAGCATGATTTCATTTTTAGAGAAGTATTTGGACCTGCATATTATGCATATTGAGTTACTTTGTACAAGCAAGTTGATTTTTATGTTGTGTAGTAAAGTTAGTATGGCTTTAAACATAGGCCTGCAAAGTACAAAGTGTAAAAACCTGTAGAAATGCAAAGAAAGAAATAAATTTATTTATCATTTACATGGATTGGACTTTGAATTACATTCACAAAAAAATTTCAAAGAACCTGCCAAATGAAAAAACAATGTTACAACAATACCTTCAACAGATTGATACACATTGTAAGATGGAAAACTTGCAAAAAATATTACGTACCTGTAATTTCAGTAGTTCCTTATGTAGAATAAATGCTGGACTTCTCTCATCTCCAGAAACAGGATGAACATTCTGAAAAATTAGTTGTTCACAGTAAGATTAGTCTGAAGGAAAAAAACATACCCAAGTTGCACTCGAAACTCACCTATTTATGTATATAGACATTTCAGATTAAAGTAAATTTAATTTAATAAGCAAAAACAATGTATAATTATGATAAATTCATTTTAATACAAATTAAATGATCTTATGTAAGATATAAAAGTTCTGTAGTTTAGTTTAATATGATGATCAAGATCATGCACTAAATTACAAAAAAACAAACAAACATATATGTGACTGATGCCAAGCCAAAAGAAAGAGCTTGGAACTGATAAAGTCAACTGTGATGTACAGATTGAAAGTAATGTCTGAATGCTGGGGATACGGGAATGTGAAGAAATTGAGAAAGATCAAGAAACTGATGGAGATGTGACAGACTGATTACCAGATACCAATCCTTGGTGTATTGTCGAATGACAAACAGATGGGAATAAATCCTAGAGAAGGGTAAGAAACCTTTTAGATAGTATCCTTGGCCAAAAAAGTCGAATACTGTCTTTGAGAGATGTTGGTGGGAGACAAGATCCCCTGGAGGAGGGAAAGGTAAGGCAACAAGAGACAAGGGAGAAGGCAAGAAAAAACATTGGGTAAAGCCAACGGATAAAACCTGTAGCCATTAACGGTCAGCTGGAAAAATAACTCATAGATACACAAATTGAGCCAAATGGGCACAGAGGATTGTTACCAATGAGACTGTTCATGCTGAAACCTACAGACAGTGATAAAACAGATGGAAGAACAGGAAGTGGAGTTAGAAGGACAGGAGACAGCAACTTGAACAGAAGGAGCTTGGAAAAGATGGGACACAAAGGTGGTCAAGGAAAAATGTTGATGCATGGCCTCAGCCCGTGACTACAAAGAATCAGGTAGCCCCACCAAAAACCTATTAATGGGGAAAAGGAGCCAGACAAAAGTCCCTGAGATAAGAGGGAGGTAAGCATTCTTGGTTAATAAGGGCATTCTTCCCCTACAAATTCCAGCAACAGAGTAACCATGTAAGAAGGGACAAGACCGAGGAAGAAGAAAGCAACAATGTAGAATAAAAGGAAGTGTCCACTGAAAACACATTAGGGGAACAACAGATTGCTTCAAAAAAAAGGGATGGATGGAAGATAGATAATGTAAAAGGGTAGTGAGAGTAAGGTGAAGGGGAGAAAAACTAACAGAGAACAATGGATCAGAATCCCAAACTTGAAGAAAAGATTCCAGTGTTTGGGAGTCCAAAAAAAGGGATTGAGCTCAACTGTAAGCCAAAGCCTGTGTGTCAATCAGTTGAGGAGGATGAGGCATACAGGCACCAAAGTGAAGTAGACAAAAATTGTTTTAGCATGGACTCAGATATCAGGGGAAGGAGGAAAAACATAATATTCTGAAGAATAATAAGAAATAGGACAAAGTGGAAAAAGGTAACATACTTAAGAAGAAATGGCAGGGAAGGACACAGAATGTCGAGGTAAGTCTACAGCTGCATGGAAAAAGTATTTGTAGATTTAGGTGGTATGAAAAGTCTGTCCAAAATCCATGTTCTTACAGACAAAAAAATCCATGTCAAAACCTGAAAAAGGCCCAGACCACATGCAAGACTCCACTACCCATCATACAATAGGCGTCACATCCCCTGACAGACAAAGAAGCACTCAATGCCAATGTCCAGATGTTCAAAACAAGACAGCATGGAAATGACCATCTCTGTGTAATTTATGTTATGGGAAATAAGAGCCACAAAATCTGCAGAGATAGAACAGTTTGAAAATAAAAATAAATAATATTTCCACAACAGTTGGTTTTGTAGATATAGATACTTCAACCAAATGTTGATGTTCAGAAATCTCATACAAGCAAAAAAAAAAGATGTCTTAACACAAGTGCCAAATCGAGAAGTGATGATCGAACAATCAGAATAGAGGAAGCCAGCTGCACTAGAAGTTAGTGTCACACTTCTATTGGTGGAGGGTTGTCTCATGCTCATTTGTATGCAATATCATGTGGAGACGTGAGATTAGGTGGGAGACTCAAGACTAGTGATAAGCAAAACATTCTGCATATCGAGGAGAGCACTGAATCACGAAATCTAGATGTGAGAAGAGATTACATATTTGTATCAGAATATATCAAATAAGTGAGTTAGAAAATATGTAGTATGCCTTCATGACATCTTTAATTGTCTGTAAGAAAGCTAATAATGAACTGAGAGATAGTATGAATTGCACTTGATTAAAAGACAAATAAAATGCATACATTAGTCACTAATTTTAAAATAAATTAAATTGAGAAAGGAAAACCTAAAACATGTATATAAGTTGAAGAAAATAAATTTATATTATGAAAAGTTTATTTAGTTAAAAAACAAATTCTCAAACCTCCAATTTCCAGGCTTTCAAGTCATGATATACAAACAGGAAACTATATGATGCTTTCACTTTGATCACAATATACATACTTCTTTGGTTTACATGCTTCACCAAATCTTGGATTGATAAACACAAATACAACAATTATCTTGGTTTGTAGCAGTTGTTATTAGTATATACTTTAATATTTAAGTTTGTTGATTCTTTGTTTTTTAAGTTGCAAAGTAAGTATATTAAGGTGATTGAACAAGATACCAGATACACTTACGAGGACACAGCTTACATCACCATGGGGAAGTTCAAAAATATGTCTGGCTTTGTTCCATGTACATTGCAATGTCATCCAACCCTCTGATGCAGTGGTTTCATCAGGAAATTCTGATGATGATAATAAACTGTATGAAGCAAAATATGATGTCTTTGTCTGAAAGAAAGTTTTAACCTGCATTTAAGATGTCACTCACATGAATATATAGTATACAGAGTATAAAATCTAAATGTTTCAATTAATACTGAAAGTAATTACACCCGTACAACAAGATTCACCAGCTCATTGATCACAGCCCAAAAGCTAACGAATCTTATGGTTTTGGAAGGTTCTATTCAAAACAATTATACAAATATTGAAAACATTTATCTTATAGTTTCCTACCATTTTTTCTGATATAACTGGCTTTATCAAAAAATGCACATATTTATAATTAGATACCTTACAACTGAGCTTTTGAAGGAACAAATAAATAGTTGTTGGTTACTTTTTCCCCCACTAACTAAGCTGGGACTCTTACTAGCAACAATAAACTTAGCTATGACTGTCTCATAATTAATTATTTTATGTATTAAATGTTAGTAAATACATGTATAACCTAATTACACGTATAAACCTTCTGTGTTACGTATATATTATAAAGTGAAAGAATTCTTGATTTGAGCAGCTCGGCCACAAATGCCTAGATCGACAAAATCTACAATATTCCACTGATGGTAACCTAACCTATACTCAAAAAGTATTTTATTATTATTAAAAAACTAAGATTTAAAAACCAAAAGTTGGCGAAGAATGAAAAGCCAAAAGGCCTAACTTTTATGTCAAACATGGACAAATTGAGTGTTGAAAAAAACATCTGCAGTTTACATGATTTCTAATTTATTATTACCTCCAATGAGCAGTTACTTGGGGCCAGTAATTCTACCACGTTGTCATAAAAACTGTAATGTAGAGTCCAGATAGCATGAGCCTAGCCAGCTAGTCAATTAATCAAATGAGTCTAATATCCCATTTTTATACTTAAATTGGGTATGTGATGTAGTTCAAAGGAGGATGCAAAACCAGCACAACACAAGCAAGTGAAATAATCTTGATAACTAAAGGTAACCTAATGTGCTCAGAGCCTTGCAGTGTAAGTGATTGAAATGCTTGTATCACAGAATTACTGATACTCAAGAGTAAATTTCTGCAGAATTTTTTCAAATGTGTACTGCCAATGTTTTTCTAGTGCCTTCTAAGTTTTCCAACCAAACTACAATACTAATCACAAATTTATTAGTTTTCTAATATTGATTTTGAGCCCTTCATAACTGACAATTATGATGACATAACTTTCTATACTGTTACATGAATAAACTTGATTTCTATGATGTTAAAAGTTCCCTTAAAAACTCATTTTTGTTTTAGTAGATTTATTTTTGGAAACTTATCTCAAATACATACCAGAAGGTGGTTCTGCGACAGCTTAGCCTGATGCTCACATTTCAAGTCCATAAGTGATGGCAAATTATCTTTTGACAAAACAGGTCCTGTGAATAAATGTCGAAGCAGCTTTTAGTCAATAAAGTTTTGAATCATTTCATTCTTTCATTTAGATAAAACACATTCTACAAAGCAACTTATATATATATTAATCAATTGTTTAATGTTTTCAGTCTTAGTAACAGTCTCCTTTTGATATATTTCATAGGTAACTTAATACTGTAATGACTGAAATAATTATGGATTTTACCCTTCCAAAACTAGCACAGAACATATCTTTATTTGGATATATTCATGTAATATTATTCTATATTTCTATGTACTTTCTGCATGTTCTTATAACATTTTCATTGACCAGATATCTTAAGGTCTGAAGCATGTGTTAATTATTTTACAAATGTAAAGTCAAAATGCTGCCATTTTTTTCTTAAGCTAGCCTGTATGCTTCCCATTCAAATAAGAAATACAGAAACCTGTACACTTAAGATTGAATATAGGAGATTGACTGAATTATGTAACCTGTGATATTATCATATATCTGACATTGAGTTAGAATTTTTTCACTATGGTATTTAACTTGGGTATTTCCACACTTCTGTCTCTTTATTTAGGTTCTTGTTTTCCTGCCATCAACCTCACAAGACAGACAGTACACAGGAAAAGGCCCACTCAGTTTAGATGATCTAACATTGTGCTTGTTAAATAAAGAATTTTATGTATAAAACTACAAATGTGTTTGCTTGTTTTCTTATACTGTCCATATCCAATCTATTTTTCAGTTACTCTCTTTCACCATGGGAAGCTATTATACTCAACAAAAGATTAATTGTCATTGACAGAAGAGATCAACTTTTTTCCATGACTGTCAAAAGATTTTTCCCCTTACAGCAGAAAGCAACAACCCTCCACAAGCTTGAATCAATAGCCAGACACTGGATGTGCTAACATCTGGGAACCTGAGTAGGAAACACAAGTATAAACAACCCTTCAACTGAGGCCCCAGTTGGCAGATGACACAAGGCACTCATGCACAGATATCAGCTGATTGTTATATTTTTTCTGTTTTTTTTTTAACCATAATTCAGGTAAGTTATTAGTGACATAATGCCAAGATATGCAATGTAAATGTGTCTTATATATATATATATATATATATATATATA